TTATAACTTCGATCATGCTATTTAGACGGTGTTTAAATGTTCCTGGTGTTGGCCACCCATTCTTGCAAATCTCCTGGTCATTTCGTAAACTACTGTGTGAATCTTCCATTCTTCTGCCCTTCAATTTGTGTTTGCCTACTGGAAGATAAACAGCTGACGTAAAGACTTCGTCATAATGCTTGAGGGATTAATGTCGAACCTACATCCAGTCCGTCCGTGCGAGCGTCTTTCACCTCGACTGAATGGCCTTAAAAAAATATAACAAGTTTGCCAGTCTCCGTTGTCAGAGTCGTTTTAACCGGCGATTTATGACGTGGCTTTAAGGCTACCGTGATTATTATTAGCAGGACTATTTTTGCCATGGAATTTCTACCGTAGCACAACGGAAAGCGGTGGTCTTCCAACCTCGGAAGTGCTGAATTTGAATACCCTTGAGCAGCAGATTCACTCCACATCCAAACCAGCTAAGACACGGGTAGCAAGTCGTTGCTGCTTGCAAACAACAAGCAAGTACCATGGTGTTCAGAGATTTTCATATGAGAATTAGCTTGAGTAACTGCCCAGCTATCTGACCTGATTTCTTCATGTGGTTGCAATGTTCAATGACTCACCTGACGATCCACTGTGATAACATCAGCACAGGGTACAAACCATTTTTTGTACACTGAACCATAATTAGATTCCGTACTTCGCTCATCAGCCACTCTACGTTGTAAGTACGTCAATACTCAATTACAGTACGCAACTAGTACTACAGCCTGTTTTCCTTACAGACTTATTTCCTCACTCTGGATTTAAAACTAAACGGTATACCTAGTTAAAGGCTGATTCGATCTGATCCAACAGTCGTGCAAAAGATGGATGGAACCGGTCATCCTTATTAACGAAGGCGACGCCCAGTTATGAATAAATCACGCTGTTCAAAGTCTGGCGAAAGGTCAATGCCGACCGGCTCTGATTATTGCAGTTATGAAATGAAAAAAACTTACCTTATTATACTTCCCCATATTGTTCATTGTTTTTCGCCGCTACGGCTGTAGTATTGACTGTTTTTATGTTGAAATAAATTAGCATAAACATGTGAAAATGAAGCATTGCTTTCCTGAACTGTAATGGCACAGCCATTTAGACAAAACCAGTTGGTGCAATTTTACGTTGACCGGAAAAAGTACTCAACTTTGGGGTTTTGGTGTCACGGTCAGATGGCACGCTAATTTTGACAAAATCGGTATGACGGACCATTGACGGAAAGTGTTGGTAAAGAACGACAGAAGAATTGTCCAAAAGTCATCTGTTCGAACGACGTCCGTTTTTGCGGAGCTCAGACGAAGTGGACAAGAATGAGGAAGTTTAATGTTGTCTGAGGGAGGGGACATAGTTTTAAACTATTAATGTCGTCGCATCTAGCATAGGGGAGGTACTATGCGCCTTGAAATGGTCTTGGAGCTGTCATTCAATATTTGACATACTTGGGTGTACGGTAGCATACGATGAGTACCAGACTCTGAAGTAGCATGCGTTTTGAATGCGACATGAAAATGATGTGAGACGCACTTGGCACTGCAGATGCCATATGGCGCGTTTATCTGCTTAAATGGCCCTTCTATGCAATTAGGATTGACGGACGTTGCAATACCTCTTGAAATCTGGCCTTGGAGGAGTCATTCCTTATGTGTACTTCTATAATAAACCGTTTTTCTAATGGTGCTAAACTCGAGTGTCACAAATACAGTCAGCGTTGTAAGGGGGCTATGGAGTTTCTGAGGTGAGTGGGAATGTCAACAAGTGAAAATCGCTTTAATGATTGAGGAAGCGTAACATTTTGTGGAAAAGGACCACAGAGATGATTTTCATGAACCGCAACGGGCGTAGAGTTTTGAAGGTGATGATCTCGCTCCCATATCCGTCACCCAACTTGTAATCGTATGGATGTACCTTGAAAGCAAATCGAATCTCTTCCAACTTTCTCAATTTTCCGCCTTTTGCCTGCACCTCTAACTAAGTGATTTCACCATCAGACGATCCTAGAATGTTTTTCGACGATCGACTCGATGCTGGTGGTTCAGAGGAACCCAGTTTGTAGTTCTTGACGTTCGCCGGTTGTCTATCAGCGGCGTAGATGGTAGAAACTCGCTAAACCTCAAAACACGGTTAGGTAGTGACACTGCGCACGTCCTTTGCTCCGTCGTTCTTTGCCTGGCACCCACTTGCTCTCCCTCCCTATAGCTCTAGTAGCAGGCTAACGTTCAGCTCTGTACACCATTACGGGTTCGACGGTGGAACTGCACAGGTCTTTCTTCGCCCGTAAGGGCAGTTTGCTATCCACTAACGATATTTTAGTACATTTTAAGCTGACCCACAGCGCTTTGCTTCTTCTTCTTCTTCTTCTGATTTTTCTGTTTGACGAGTTCATACGGTCCACCTGACGGTCGATATTTCCAGAACCGCAACTTCTGCCAATTCTTTGCCGTTCTTGTGGAGGAAGCCTTTGAGGAACGCTCGGCTCGTTTCGCATGTATTTCCTCTTGGAGAGGTTAATCGCAAGTCTTGTGGTGAGAG